CAAAAAATGAAAAGCAAGGATATAACCACAGATCACACACAGAAACACAAACTAACATCACAGAATACTATAAACACCTCTATACAAATAAACACAAAAATCTAGAAGAAATGGATACTGGACACATACACCCTCCCAAGACTAAAGCAGGAAAGTTGAATCTCTGAATAGGGCCAATAACAGGCTATGAAATTGAGGCAATAATCAACGCCTACCAGCAAAAAAAGGCCAGGACCAAATGGATTCACAGCCAAATTCTACCAGAGGTACAAAGAGGAAATTAGTATCAATCCTTCTGAAAGTATTCCAATCAATAGAAAGGGAATCCTCCTAACCCATTTTATGGGAGCCAGCATCATCCTGATACTAAAGCCTGGCAGAGACACAACAAAATAAAAACAGTATTTTAGACCAATATTCCCCTGATGAACATCGGTAAAATCCTCAATAAAATACTGGCAAACCCGAATCCAGCAGCACATCACAAAGCTTATCCGCCATGATCAAGTCAGCGTCATCCCAGGGATGCAAGGCTGCTTCAACATATACAAATCAATACATATAATCCATCACGCAAACAGAACCAACAACAGAAACCACATGATTATCTCAAATCAATACGAAAACGCCTTGACAAAAAATTCAACAGTACTTCATGCTAAAAACTCTCAATAAACTAGGTATTGATGGAACATATCTCAAAATAATAAGATCTATGTATGACAAACCCAAAATTGATATCATACTGAATGGGACTGACGTGGAAGGTTCATTTGAGAGGCACGGCAGGACGGTGATGCCTCTGTGCCATCTTGTTCAGAATGATTGTTTGGAGAAGCTCTGGCCAGGGCAATCAGGAAGAAGAAATGAAGTGTACTCAATTAGAAAAGGAAGTCAAATTGTCCCTGTTTGCAGATGACATGACTCTTATACTTAGAAAATTCCATCATCTCAGCCCAAAATCTTCTTAAACTCATAAGCAACTTCAGCAAAAGGAGTCTCAGGATACAAAATTGACGTACAAAAATCACAAGCATTCTATACACCAATAACAGACAAACAGAGAGCCAAATCATGAGTGAACTCCCATCACAATTGCTACAAAGAGAATAAAACACCAAGGTATCCCACTTACAAAGAATGTGAAGGACCTCTTCAAGGAGAACACTGCCCAATGAAATAAAGGATAGCTACTGAAACAAATGGAAGAACATTCCATGCTCACGGACAGGAAAGAGAGTCAGTATTGTGAAAATGGCTATACTACTCAGGTATTTTATAGATTCAATTACCATCCCCATCAAGCTACCAATGACTTTCTTCACAAAACTGGAAAAAAACTTCTCTAAAGTTCATATAGAACCAAAAATAGGCCACATTGCCAAGATAATACTAAGCAAAAAAGCACAAAGCTGGAGGCATCAAGCTACCTGACTTCAAACTACACTGCAAGCCACTACAGTAGCAAAACACCATGGTACTGCTACGAAAACAAAAAGAGATAGACCAAAGGAACAGAACAGAGCCTCAGAATAACACCACACATCTACAACCATCTGATCTTTGACAAACCTGACAAAAACAAGAAATGCAGAAAGGATTCCCTGTTTCATAATGGTGCTGGGAAAACTGGCTAGCCATATGTAGAAAGCTGAAACTGGATCCCTTCCCTTACACCTTAGACACAAATTAATTCAAAGACTTAATTGACCCAGACCTAAAATCATAAAATCCCTAGAAGAAAATCTAGGCAATACCATTTCAAGGACATAAACTGGGCAAGGACTTTATGATTAAAACACCAAAAGTGATGCCAACAAAAGCCAAAATAGATAAATGGGATCTAATTAACCTGAAGAGCTTCTACACAGCAAAAGAAACTTCCATCAGTGAGCAGGACAACATACAGAATGTGAAAATTTATTTGATACCCATCTGACAAAGGGCTAATATTCAGAGTCTACAAAGAACTTAGATTTACAAGAAAAACACAAACAAACCTCAAAAGTGAGCAAAGTATATAGACAGACACTGCTCAAAAGAAGACATTTATGTAGCCAGCAGACACATGAAAACACGCTCACCATCACTGGTCATCAGAGAAATGCAAATCAAAACCACAGTGAGATGCCATCATACCCAGTTAGAATGGCGATCAGTAAAAAGTCCAGGAATCAGCAAGTCTGGAGAGGATGTGGAGAAACAGGAATGCTTTTACACTGGAGGTGGCAGTGTAAACTAGTTCAACCATTGTGGAAGACAGTGTGGCAATTCCTTAAGCATCTAGAACTAGAAATACCATTTGAACAGCAATCCCATTACTGGTGTTATATTCCTGAAGGATTATAAATCGGAGCTGCTATAAAGATACATGCACATGCCTTATGTTTTACTGTGGCACTATTCACAATGGCAAAGACTTGGAACCAACCCAAATGTCCATCAGTGATAGGCTGGATTAAGAAAATGTGGCACATAAACACCATGGAATAATATACAGCCATAAAAAAAGAATTAGTTCATGTTCTTTGTGGGGACATGGATGAAGCTAAAACCATCTGTTCTGAGCAAACTATACAAGGACAACCAAACACGGCATGTTCTCACTCATAGTTGGGAATTGAACAATGAAATTTTATGGACACAGGGTAGGAAAAAACATCACACACTGAGACCTGTCGTGGGGTGGGGGAGGAGGAAATTATGGAATGGCATTGGAGAAAGACCTAAAACAAATGACGAGTTGATGGGTTGCAGGAAACCAACATGGCACACTTATACTTATGTCACAAACCTGCATGTTGTACACATGTTCCCTAGAACTTAAAGCATAATATATAAATAAATAAATGAATAAAAAGATATCAAGGCAGAAGAGGTGAGGCAAGAAGGGGAAGGGAGTGAAATTGTGGTAGCTTGGAGGGAGGAATTTTACAATGTGAGAGAGGAAATGGAAGGGGACAGGAGGAGGAGACAAAGCGAAAGAGGAAGGGAGAGGGGAGAGAAAGAGGGAGAGGAAAGCCAGAAGAAGGAGGAGGAAGCTGGGGAGGGCGCAGAATGGAGTTTGAATCTCACGTGACATAGCACCTATGCAACAGACAAACCATGTCTGGAATTTCCTGTCTGCTGAGCAACACCATTGAACCCAGATGCAGCTCTCAAATTCATGTTTCAGTCACATGTTTCCCAGTCAGACTCTTAACTGAACTTTAAAAGACACAAGTCTAGGCCGGGAGCGGTGGCTCATGCCTGTAATCCCAGCACTTTGGGAGGCTGAGGCGGGTGGATCACCTGAGGTCAGGAGTTCAAGACCAGCCTGGCCAACATGGCGAGACCCCTCTCTACTAAAAACACAAAAATTAGCCAGGTGTGGTGGCTCATGCCCCTAATCCCAGCTACTCAGGGAGACAGAGGCATAGGTGCTTGAACCTGGGAGGTGGGGCTGCAATGAGCCAGGCGTACCACAGCACTCCACCCTGGGTGACACAGAGACCGCGTCAAAAAAAGACAGAGTCTATTATTAGTTTAAAAAGTATCCTTCTGGTGGTATTTCCCCACATGCCCCCACACACATAAAATTGTCCTGTGTGCAATACTCTCAACTGGGGGATATTTAAAAGCATTACACTTACCAAGGTTGTAATGCTTACCAAGAAGTAAACATTATACTTACAGTTTCATCCTTTTGAAACAGAATGTCCTCTGTGGTGCTGGACATCAATGACTGCCGGAAGATCCCTGCTTTGGACTGGATGTCACATGCTCTCCTTCTGCTCCCTCCTCTCTGCTTTCGCTCAAATCCCTTCTTTCGTCAGATTCTTTCTTAGAAGCATCTAGTGGGATTATCTCTAAATTCTCAGAAACTTCTACTACAAAAGAATCTCTATTATTCCCTCAAGACTAATTGATCAAATCAAAAATTCAAGATCTAATACTCAGAACCCATAAAAGCACTTTCATCTGCATCTCTGCATCCTCTGATTGTAAGGAACATCCTCTGCATCCTCTGATTGTAAGGAAGGCTCTGACTCGCTATGTCTCTGGGATTTCTTTAAAAAGAAATAAAAGATCATGATTCCACATACAGTAAAATATATATGTTAAAGTGTACATACTTGTTGAAAAATATTTAAAGTGGTCACAATGGAATTGTAAGTTCCAACAGTTTGAGTTAAACAGATAAACCTGAAAACATGAAAGCACAATAAACAGATTCATTGGCCAGGAATATTTGCTGCAGCTCCCAGGGCTGGACACTTTTTTTTTTTTTTTGTAAGAGATGAGGTCTCACTATGTTGCCCAGGCTGGAATGCAGTGCTTGTTCACAGGCACAATACTTCTACTGATCAGCATGGGAGTTATTTATGACCTGCTCCATTTCTGACCTGGGTCAGTTCACCCTTCCTTAGCCAATCTGGTGGTGCCCCGCTCCCAGGAGGTCACCATATTGATGCCAAATTTAGTGTGAACACCTGAACAGCATAGCACACTACGGCCCAGAACTCCTGGGCTCAAGTAATCCTCCTGTCTCAGGCGCCTGAGTAGCTCAGACTACAGGTGTTTGCCACCATGCCCACCAGATACATTTTTATATCACTTCTTAGTCATTGCTTCCTTTCTACTGTTTTCCCGTCTGATTAGCTGCATCTCATCTTTAAGTCAGTTAAAGGAAAAAGCCCTCAAGCTCATCGCATTTCCTTGAGCAATTTTCTTGATGCCTCTCGTGGTTCTGAAGGTCACATGATATATGGCTAAATGAGTTTCACAATCCACATGCCAGGTTGAAGACTGACAGAGAGACTTAACGTCAATTAAGAAACAAAGATTATGAGAAAGTTTTCCTAAACTCCTATTACTTAGAAATCATCTGTTTCTATACACACTTACAGATTTAGAGAACCAAACTGTATGCTTTTCATAAGCTATTCCTAAGTGGAAAATCAGAATGGACCAGATAATTAATAGAGAAAAACAAAGAGTGGAAGCAAGTAAAACCGTACTTCTTTCTGAAGCTGAACGTTTTCTTTCTTCAAAGCCAGGAACATTTCTTCCACCCTGTCAACCTCAGTCTTAGGCTTTTGCATGTCTTGCTGTAATTCTTCATGTAGATATACTTCTGATGTTCTGTCAGAATCTGGTGGTAAAGAACTCAGATTTTCTAATTTAGGTTTCAGACTTTTATAGTTATTTGTAGTGCAACTGTCACTATTTTGGTTCATGTTTTTTGTCATTTGCAAATCAAACTCTTGGCCTTCTTTCATTTCAACTGTAACCTCTTCTGGGTTCCTTGCTTTCTTAATGCCTGCATCATTACTAAAGTTTTCATCCATACTAAAAATATGTTCAATGCCTGGTTTGTTATCACTGTCATAGTCTAATTTATTTTCATGTAAATGAAGCTTAGAAGATGACTGGCAAGCATGTTCCAGGGACCCAGAGTATGGATGACAGTATGGATGGATGATACTTTTGAGACTGGGTTCATTTTGTTCAGGAAATGTCTCGAATACCACTGAGACAGACACTTCAGATGCGTCTTCTTCCTCACAACCAGGTATATTATTTGTCAAATTAAAGGGAATGTCTTTTACATTTGTTTTTCTCATAGAGTTATCAAGTAGTGGCTCTTCCTCAGGACAAACCGGAATTTTGTATGTTTCACAAATTTCACCAAACCTCTGCTTTAACTCATTTGTGACAAGTTTTAATTTGTTTTTCCACTCTAATTTGCCTTGTTCGATCCACATTTCCTCAGACTTTTGCACATGAGGAAGTATTGAATATACAGGTATATCCTCTCTATCACAATCCTTAGCCATTTCCGGTTCTTGAGACATTTTCTGCAGATGCAAAAGTGAAAGATTAATTTGCTTGTTTTGTTTCTCGGGTGTCTTCTTTGTTGGGCTACATGTTTTAAAAACAGCTTTGTCCTTACGTAACAGGTATCAACAAAGAAAAATTCACAAATAATTAAAATGAAAATTTAACTGTTAAACTTTTTAATCCAGGTTTAGTTACTCCCAAATCACTGGCTTGTAACTAAGAAAGGAGGAGAAAAATATGAACCAGCAAACTTAACTTTGTCACTGTTTGTTTGGAATAAACTTAATTCATTATGTGTTAAATCTATCAAAAACGAATTAGCAGATGATTTCTAGTGTTACAAAGGCTTCCTCACTTGAAAAGTGAGCCCCTACAGTACATTTAAGTACTCTTTCTATAGATTACTAACAGAAATGTAGGCAATCTTTAAATTATTAGGAGCCCGAATCAACACCCATCAGAAAGAAAAGCAAATTCTTAAGTTTTAATTCAAATTATATAATGTAACATCATAGGGTTGTATGTCTAGACTATCTTTTTCAGCTCAGTTCTAACATATACTATGGTCCCCTAATAACACTAACTAAAACTTTAAAGGTAGTATTTACTAAGTTTCTGCATCTAAAAAGTTAGAAAGTTATTTTTTGTACCCTAACACCAAAGATCTCATTCTGCGAGATACGATTCCCTTCATAGGCAGTTGGGTTGATTTCATAACCCCACTCTCACTGAACATAGACTCTGAAGTCAATGAAAGGCCACAAGGCAGAGTACATCTTTAACCTTGGCATTAGTAACTGGCAATATAAAACTGCAAAATTTGAGCCACTGGCCATGATTACTCTTTAACCATGAATCCAACTCAGCGGCCATCACTGTTAAATTGTTCATAATTTCTGTTACTTAATAATATGATTCAATAATTGATGTTACCTTCTTTATCCTGTAAGGATATTGTAAGAATGGAAGAGCAAACAAAATTCTGGAATGTTTGCCTCTACTCCAAGGGTAAATATTATAAATTATGATAGATTCTAACAATATTGTGTTTTATAACTAGTTTAAATGCATTTAAAATTAAATATTAAGTAAGGATCTATTGATTCTCAAAGGCTAGTCTGAGAGGTAATTTCATTTGGGCTATCTTACATTATTATTATTATTTTTTTTTTTTTGAGACGAGTCTGGCTCTGTCGCCCAGGCTGGAGTGCAGTGGCCGGATCTCAACTCACTGCAAGCTCCGCCTCCCGGGTTTACTCCATTCTCCTGCCTCAGCCTCCCGAGTAGCTGGGACTACAGGCGCCCGCCACCTTGCCTGGCTAGTTTTTTGTATTTTTTAGTAGAGACGGGGTTTCACCGTGTTAGCCAGGATGGTCTCGATCTGCTGACCTCGTGATCCGCCCGTCTTGGCCTCCCAAAGTGCTGGGATTACAGGCGTGAGCCACTGCGCCCGGCCTATCTTACATTATTAAAGCAAAAAAAAAAAAAAACCCAGTATTAAATCAGAAATTTGGATTTTAATTTAAATGTTTCCATACCTCTGGCTGCTTATTTTCATGTCCTTTAAGTCTTTCTTGCTCTTCCTCTGATGTCAGCTCCAATTCTTGTTCTGCTGTGAAATCCAAACATTCAGTTAAACTACTTAGAACAGTTAGATAAAAGACATAGTCTTTATAAAAACAGATTTTAAATTACATTTCATTTTATTTCATAAATTGAGAGTTTAAATGAAGCTTATCTTTAGTAGATACTTACTTCTTTAAGAAATACTTCTAATTCTCCAAAACTTCAACAAACCACTTTCTGGGAGACACTAGATGCCACCAGGTTAAAGAAATACAATCATCTTGAAGATCCACTCACAGATTCTTCCACCCAGCATCAAAGAACAAAGCCATCACAAACAAAACACATTTTGGAATACAGTAGCAATATTATTAGGCAATGCTGCATACTGTTTTCTACTTCATAATAGTACCTTATTAATGATTTCCAAAATGACTGTGGACACCTTTATCGGTGTACATCCTCTTCCTAACATCTGAAATGTTTCCCTGTAATATTCTGACAAATGTATTAATATTTTCATCTTTTAAAACAACTTTTAAAACAGACTGCTAAAAATAAATAAATAAAATACAATAAAATAAGAAACGGATTGCTAGGTGAAGTTGACCCTGATCCTGGCTATCTTTCCCCAGGTAAACAGGTATCTAGGTATCTCCTTCCCTGGGGCTGCCCTAGAACTTTGCTGACTTTTCTACTGCATCTCCACCACCCAAACTGTCAATTGCTTTAAACATCTATTCCCTTTGCTCCTTGACTGTAGGGAACAATCTTGAAAATCATCTTCATACAAGGAGTCATTATCTATTTTACTCAGCAATTATGTATTGAGTCTGGCTATGTCTTAGGCACTAGGGTTTAAAGAGTGAAAAGAAAGCATATCAGAGATGACTTTTCTAGAGATCCTGCCCAAGCTGAGACTTAAAGAGTGAGGCTAGCTAAATTAGAAGGGATAGGGGGTAAGAAAGAATGAGAGCATGACAGGCAGCAACAAATGGCAGAGAAAGGCCTGAAAGAGTATATGTATTTGCCTACAATCGAGGGATGAGTGAGCAGGACCCGACCAGCAGTTCAGTAAAGCCAGAGAAAGGGCACACAGGGGAAAGGGCTAAAGATGGAGAGCTGAGCGGAAGTCACATTATGAAAGCCTTATGTATAATTTTAAGGTGCTTGGACATTAATGTTCGCAAGAGTGGTCCCTGGTCCTATGTGCATTGGTAATAGACCACTGTCAATGCCAAAACCAACATCCCTAGTGAACACATTTATTAACACAAGGTGGTAGCTCATGTGGACACAGGCAAGAAGATACTATGCCTCAAATTCTCAATGATTCTCATTAATTACTGACTTGGAAAGTCGATTCTATAGTACATAAACTCATAGAAACGATAGGAAGTCACTTAATATTTGCCTTTGGAAGGTGTTTTGTTTTGTTTTTTGGTTTTGTGTGTGTGTGTGTTTTTATTTTATTTATTTATTTATTTATTTTCTGGAGACAGAGTCACCCACTATTGCCCAGGCTGAAGTGCAGTGGCACAATCTCGGCTCACCGCAACCTCTGCCTCCTGGGTTCAAGCGATTCTCCTGCCTCAGACTCCCGAGTAGCCGGGACTACAGGCATGCACCACCACGCTCGGCTAGTTTTTTTGTATTTTTAGTACAGACAGGATTTCACCATGTTGGCCAGGCTGGTCTCGAACTCCTGACCTCGTGATCTACCCATCTCGGCCTCCCAAAGTGCTGGGATTACAGGCGTGGGAAGGTGCCTTTTAAGTTATAGCGCATATAGTTATAACTAACAGCTGTGAATTCAGAGCTATGAAAATAAAGCAAAGAAACCACATTGTGTTTGAGTCAGCAATCTTTAGGTCTCTACTGAATTATCCTAAATATAATCCTATGTTAGTCCCTAAACATACATAGTCCCTACTTTCTAAATATAATCCTACTTCCTAAAGAAAACCATGCTTTCCCCTAATTCTCTGTTATCTAGATGTTGCTTTGGTTAAAGGAAGTTTACAAACGTCCTGCCAAAAGGTATTCTGTTCAGTGCAAAAAGGAAAGTAAACACAAAGCACATTTTACCAGAAAATGATTTTTTTAAAGTCAGAACTATAGCACTATGCAGCCAAGCAGAGGCACTCTAGGACTGAATTCTCTATACTTCTTTGTTACCTTCTTTGCTCTCTTTGTTTTCTGGTAGCTGTGATTGGCACAGGTCATGGAGACTATCATTCCCCGAGACGTTCATCTTTTCTTGTTCTGTTAAGTTCATCTGTCCCAATTCTTTGGTTGCTGACTGATTTTCAGGCATTGATGGTGATACAGATGGACACTGATCATCAACGTTCAGAATCTTGGATTTCTGACAAGTCTTATCACTAATGGTCAAATTAGTAGGATGCCAATCTGAAAAATCCGAAAATGAAGTTTTCATTTATTAGGATGTAAATAACACAATAATTTGACTAACTTGTATACGTGCTTTCTTCACAGAAACAGTCCCACGTCCTGCTCTCTCCCACAAACACATTACGCATTTGGGCTTATTATATTTTATATGTCCTATGCTGCAATTCATTCAGAAAAGTTTAATTGACTATCATCTCTCACTTTTCTACATTTTTACTGTTTACTATTACTTACTTTTATTCACTCAGCAGTCTCTATTACATATTTTGCTTTCCATTAAGATATTTCATGATATAAATTTTTTATATACAGAATTTATGTCTAACCATTTTAAGCTTAAATATACATGACAGCACTATGTGTATGTGCTGTAGAGACAGAGGATTTATAAAAACTCATAATATAATTTTAAAACTATTTTAATTATAATGAGATGGTCTTTCCTCAATGCACCACTATGTTCAGAATTTACTTTCAAATACTTGGATAAACTTCATACATTTATTTGCAAAATGAGAGCCGTAAGGGCCCTAACTGTTCCCACATAAAAACAGGACTAGTGTAGGACCACACTATATCCAAAGAGCACACAGTACCATGAGAAAAGAAAGGAATATATATATATATATATAAACATATTATACATATGTTATGTATAATATACATGCATTCCTTTTTTCTATATAAACAAAATTGTGGGGATTTAAATTTTTTTTAAGACAAGTGAAAGAAAAAAAGTCAAAAACACAGAAGTGAAACTTTAAAGTCCATTTCATCATCAAGGGCACATTTATCCACAACCACATATGTGGTTTAAAATGTTGGGTCTAAATTGTGATCTGAGAATCCCTGGAGTTCAAGATCCAGGCAGGGGGTCCAAGATGTCAAATAATACAAAATGTTATTCGCCATTTTCATTCTCGTTCACTTTCAAGTGTACAGTGGAGCTTTTCATGACATGGTGTGTCATAACATCATAGCGCTAATGGTGATTGGGTCATAGTTCTAAAGGCTATTGGAATGTATGGCTGTGCATGCTCGTTTTTCAAATATTTTAGTTTTTATTTCTAAAACAGTAAATATCAAAAGACACAACCGACTTAAACAAAAGCTCTTTGGAATCTGCAATCATTTTTATTTATTTTATTTATTTATTTATCATTATGAAGAGACTTTAACTGAGATCCAGTCATTTGATAGAAAACCAGAGCTTCCTGTGTCAATAAGGACTGACCTCAAAAATGTAATGTGTCCAGACAAAAGAAAGTTGCAAACTATGTAGAGTGTACAAAAATGTATATATACTTTTAGGACATGAAAACAAATTCTACATGTTATTTATGACCATATAGATATGTAATAAAATGTTTTAAAAGGGAATGGTCATGATAAATGCTTAATTCAGGGTGTCAGTTACCTCTAGGCAATAATATTTAATCACATAAAAGGAACTGCAGGCCAAAAAGTTTCAGAATCAGTGTTTTAAATGACTGTGTCCACCATATAGTTATTAAGGAGTGATTGTTTTCCTCATTTTTGATAATCAAAGATAACCCCCACCCCCAACACACACACACACGATCTGCTAACCAGAATATCTGACTGGCTTAAAATCATCAGTATAGCCACACTATGACGAACTAATCAAACTTAAAAGCACAAGTCACATGTTGGCAAGTAAAGTTTGTCTCATCTGATAAGTTTTGGTGCTCCACATTCACCTTATATTCTTTCCACCTTCCTAATACCCCACTCCTCCTTTTTCTGAAGTATTATCTCATTTTACCACCCTCCATCATATCCACCTGCTTCTTTTCCCTTCATTTACTCCCTATACTCTCTGCCTTCCACATTCTTTATTCCCCCTTTTACTCTTGTCCTCTTCCTTCTATCCTGACACTGCATATCTAGGGTTCAGTACTATCCACAGTTCCAGGCATTCACTAGAGGTCTTGGAACATATCCCCATGGATAAGGGGGGGAAAACTGTACATTTGGTTGTGTAGGTCTATGGGTGCTGTGCTATGTTATATGGTAAAACACAGGGAAGAGACCAGGGACAAGGATCTTTGCAAAGACTTTTCAGCTGCCAGTGGAGAGAAAAGCTCAAGGGAGATCAATGTACTCAGTCTCAATAATCCTCTTCTGGGGCAGATGCTGGTTAAGTTTACTTAGTTCTAGCTGTTTTCTCTAGCACAAACAAGGCTCAAATTCACCTACCATTTTACCTCCCATGGAAAGAACCACTGGAAAGATCACTCCCTTAAAGAGCTTATTCACTCTGAGCCGTACCATTCATTCAGAGAGAAGCTTAAGAAGAAACACTGCCATGGTGGTGGCAGGTTTCCAGGGAGAACTACCTGATATGAAAAATACATATGAACAGAACTATCAGCTCACTCAAGCTGCCAGAATGTGCCAACAGTTGTCAACTCTCTCTGGTGAAAACAAAAGTATTTTTCACTTCTTGTAAAGCAAAACACTGGTATTTCTTATGACAGAGCATCTAGTTGTAGATGAGCCATGTTATAATAATATAAACTTTTCAAGCTCATCCCTAAAAAGAAAAGAACCAGTGAGGAACATATTTTTCACCTGTAGTGTTCACTGCCTGATCTTCTTTTTAAGTGCAAGGTAAGTATGCAAGACTTTGTGATTCCAGTTTTATAAAGTCCAGCTCTTGAGATTACCCCATCCCATCATTAGAGTCTATCTGGACCCATCTCCTGGAGCACAATGGTCCAGTTAGTGCTCTGCAGTACTGCATGATGCCATTTTTCCCCACTCTCCCTGTTACGTGGCAAATGTCTACAGAAATCACGCTTTCTCAGCATGTCAAGTCATATGCCATCAGATCCTATTCTGATGAAAAAAAAAAACATGAGGAAAACAAAGGCAAGGACAAAGAACATTTAAAATGACAGAATCCAATTACTATGGAACTTTATTGTTTAAGTATTCAAAAAGATATCCACTGTTTTATTCCAACTATATGACTAGTCTGGAAAAAGCAAAACTATGGAGACACCAAAAAGACCAATGGTTGCCAAAGCCAGTGGAGAGGAAGAGATGAAATGGTGGAGGACAGAGGATATTTGGGGTAGTGAAGCTATTTCGTCTATGATACTACAAGGGTATATACATGCCATTACACATCTGTCCAACACCATAGAACCTACAACACCGAGAGTGAACCCTAACATAAACTGTGAACCTTGGGTGTGATGTGTCTGTCAAGATATATTCCTCAACTGTAACTCTGATGAACTCTGATGGGGGGTACTGATAATGAGGGAGGCTGTTCATACGTCAGGGGTCATGGGGAGTATGGAAAAACCTCTGTACCTTCTCAATTTTGCTGTGAATCTAAAACTTCTCGGAAAATAATGTTATTAATTTTAAAAAACATACTCACTGAACTTGCTATTACCCTAAATTATAAAAAGACAGAGTCACCTTGAAAATTGCAGATCACTAAAGATCAAGGTAACAGAATACGAGTACTATCTCCCAAATTGAAGCATATAAAAACACATGAAGCAATTAATTTTAATTGCATAGTTAGGCAAAAAAAACTGATAAAAATGATTGAATATCTAATCTTATTTCATAATTGTAAACAGGGATTTAATGCAATATGAATCAAAACTGGTCCATCCATGTAAATAAAATGAAAGATAATTTTTATTCTAATTTTAAATCAGAGCTTATTATGCCTATTTTATCCCACAATTTTACTGAAAGGTTAATCAGGTAAGAAGGACAGATTATAATTACTTAATATTGCCATAGTAACTTATGTACAAATACCTGTTAAGTATTCACCAAATGTCAAAACTGTAAGCAGCCTTGCTACTTAATATGAATGATGTAACTGAAAGCAGTACCATGTTATGGTCTATCATATTATTTGCTATTATATTACATAAAATTTTAAGATAACATCAAAAATTTAGTCAGGGACATAGCTTCTGGGCAGCAAAGATTTCATATAGCAGGCAAAAGACATCCATCCTTAGAAAGGCTTGCTTGCGAGGCTAGTCCTTGGCTGGTATTTGGGACCTTGAATTAGATAGGGTTCCCGCCATTCCCTAACTTAGAAGAAGGAAATGGCTCACTGTGCCTAAACTGTTCGTGCAAATGTGGTTTACTATGAACAGTTAATTTCCTCCTGGGAGTCTAGAATTTTGTCACATGTGAGGGACAGGAGAGGTTGTCTATGTGACTAGCCTCCCTGGAAAACATGGGTGCTGAGCCTCTAATGAAACTCTGGTAAGGTAGACAACTTTGCACATGTGTCATCAAAATTTGAGGCTGCGGGAATTAAGCGCATCCTGTTAACTACACAGGCGATGACTCCTGTAGCTTGTGCCTGGCTTCCTCCAGACTTTGACACATGCACCTTTTCCCTTTTCGAATTTTGCCTTGTGTCTTTTCACTGTATTAAATACAATAAATCAAAGCCCCGAGTATGACTGTCTGCTGAGTCCTCTGAGTCCTGTGAGTACTTCTCAGTGAATGACCAAACCTAAGGCAGTCTTGGGAACCCCTGACACAACTGCATTATACAACTTTTATTGTTTAAGTTGATGTGTTACATGTGACTACAATCAGAAGGTTATTTCACAGAATATCTTTCCCTAATCTGTTTATTGTTTATTTTTTGACATTTGCCTTGGAGATTCCTGTACTTCTATATCCACTGGACTAAAAGCATTAAAAATGTATGAAACAATGATGTCAGAAAATAATTTTAAAGAGCAACAATCCTATTTTAACCCAATTAAGAAATAGAAAATCTTGATGACTGACAATATGTTCTACAGTATAAAAGTTTCTGGAACAAAAAATTAAAAGATCACAGTTTTCTCCCACTCAGTAGGGGTTAATTCATTTTTACAATAATCGTGCAGCAGGGCACGTGCGGCGGCACACATCTGTAGCTCCACCTACTCAGGATGCTGAGGCAGAAGGATTGCTTGAGGCCAGGAACTAAA